GCGCCGCCCACCTTGCTTACCAAGTGATGGAACAAAAAGCAGTCAACCGAAACCCATACATTTGAAGGGGCGGTGTTCCATACACCACGTCCCATAGTGTTCACCCCTCCAGTGGATTCAATACATATGCACAGTTTTTTTCACAAGACAGGTGTGAGGACTTCCCGCTGAAGGTTCGAATTTGTTCCAAGAATAGATCCGATTGAACCAGAGCGAAACCAAAAGAAAAAGAAAACAATCGATGAAGATCTCATAAGCTGACGCCGGGAGTCGAACCCGGGATTGCCTCCCACTGGAGTGCCTTGCAATCAATGAAGGAGGCCGTGTTCGGTCCGATTATGTTCCCCTCTAAAAATGGTTCGGTGGCCAATTTGTTGATAGGACGAACCTTGTCGGCACTATTCTGAATGCCAGAGGTTGAATTTTTCAAATTTATATTAGAATATGCGCAACTCGAAGTTCCGAGCTAGGAAGAAAAAAAAAAATCATCGAGAACTCTCAACATTCTGACGCCGGGAGTCGAACGAAGAGGCTGTTTTGCGTTACGCCACGTCCGATTTAATATCATCTTCCTTCCCTCCAAGTAAGCACACGGCCACGCACGTTCTTTTTACTACAAGACAGGCTATAGCTAGTGATTTTATTTTATGTTATAGTCCAAGGTAGTCGTACTTGTACTTGTATAGGTAGCTACGGGTATGTGGGACGAGGGGTGAAGATACATAGGGATGGCCCGGGAACCGTTCTGTTATCAAAGTCACTTACTTATTATTCTGAATTCTGGATAGGATTGGAGCAACCATTATTCATTCATTGCCTCAGGATCAAGCGTAGAGACAAAAACAAAAACAAAAAACGACCTCGATTGCAAGAGGTCCATTAGAACGCCGGGAATCGAACCCGGGACTGCCTCCCATGAACAACACCCAAGAATTCAATTGATCAATTGAAGAGGCCGTGTTCTATGCACAACGTCCCAATACTATGCATATAATTCTGGATTCCACTAACCCCGCAGATCGGGCGCAGACTGTAGACTCAATGAGAGACCAAAAAAAATAACCCCCAATTCGAGGGATTCCATTCGAACGCCGGGAATCGAACCCGGGGCTGCCTCCCATGACCCACCCAAGACTTCAATGGAACAATTGAAGAGGCCGTGTTCCATACACCACGTCCGATTTTTACTATGCGGATAATTCTGCATTGGACTAACCGTTATTCATTGCCTCAGGATCAGGCGTAGACTCAATGAGAGGTAAAAAAAAAAGATTTCACAAACGGCGCCATTCGGACGCCGGGAATCGAACCCGGGACTGCCTCCCATGAACAACACCCAAGACTTCAATGGATCAATTGAAGAGGCCGTGTTCCATACACCACGTCCGATTTCTATGCATATAATTCTGCATTGCACTACCCATTGTTCATTCCCACAGATCGGGCGTAGACTCAATGAGAGGAAAAAAAAAAGCTCCTCCAGGCCGTTATTCGGACGCCGGGAATCGAACCGGGGACTGCCTCCCGTGACCAACACCCAAGAGCCAATGAAACAATTGAAAAGGCCGTATTCCATACACCAACGTCCGATCACTATGCATATGATTCTGCATTGGACTAATCGTTATTCGTTCCCGCAGATTGAGCGTAGACTGTAGACTCAGTGAGAGACCAAAAAAGCAATCCTTACTCAACGACGCCATTCAGACGCCAGGAATCGAACCCGGGACTATGCCGTTCCAAATGCACTTTTATTATTTCCCAACATACATCACTTTTTCCCAACACACATAGCAAAATTTCATCTTTTCCCAACACATATAAACCTTTTTTCAGTTGAGTATGAGATGGGAATTTGAGGCTATTTTCCCAATTTTTTTTCATAGGAATTGAAAATTTCCCAACACTCATTCGGTAGTTCAAAAATTCCCAACACATTCGAGGTTGGAAAATTTTCCCAACACACATTTGGGGTCAGAAGTTTTTATTGCTTAAATTGAAGCCTATATCCGAGGACAGCCATGGAATAGCCCCGGCAAAGGTCACAAGACCGTAGTTGTGTTGAACGAACACAAGGAAGACAAATGATGAACTTCCAAAAAAGGAAATCGATCGCCAATCCTTGTGTTCGTTCAACACAACTATGGTCTTTTGACCTTCGTCGGGGCTATTCCCCGGCTGTCCTCGGATATAGGCTTCGATTTAAGCAATAAAAAAAATTGACCCCAAATGTGTGTTGGGAAATTTTTCTGACCTTGAATGTGTTGGGAATTTTTGAACTACCGAATGAGTGTTGGGAAATTTTCAATTCCTGTAAATGAAATTTGGGAAAATAGCCTCAAATTCCCATCTCATACTCAACTGAAAAAAGGTCTATATGTGTTGGGAAAAGATGAAATTTTGCTATGTGTGTTGGGAAAAAGTGATGTATGTTGGGAAATAATAAAAGTGCATTTGGAACGGCATACGGGACTGCCTCTCATGACCAACACCAAAAGCCAATGGAAGAGGCCGTGTTCCATACACCAACGTCCGATTTCTATGCATAATTCTTTGGACTAACCATTATTCATTCCTGCAGATCGAGCGTAGACTGTAGACTCAGTGAGAGACAAAAAAAGAAATCCTTACTCAACGACGCCATTCGGACGCCAGGAATCGAACCCGGGACTGCCTCTCATGACCAACACCAAAAGCCAATGGAAGAGGCCGTGTTCCATACACCAACGTCCGATTTCTATGCATAATTCTTTGGACTAACCATTATTCATTCCTGCAGATCGAGCGTAGACTGTAGACTCAGTGAGAGACCAAAAAAAGAAATCCTTCCTCAACGAAGCCATTCGGACGCCGGGAATCGAACCCGGGACTGCCTCATATGACCAACACCTAAAGCCAATTGAAGAGGCCGTGTTCCATACACCAACGTACGATTTCAATGCATATAGTTCTGGATTGGACTAAATATTATTCATTCCCACAGATCGGGCGTAGAGACAAAAAAAAACCGATATTGAAGAATTACAATTCCGACGCCGGGAATCGAACCCGGGACTGTCTCCCAATTCCTTCCGCAACAAAACAGCAATTGGAGAGGCCGTGTGCCATAAACCACATCCAATTTCTATGCATAATTCTGCATTGCACTAAGGGTTATTCATTCCCGCAGATCGGGTGTAGACTCAGTGCGAGACAAAAAAAAATTGATTCCGGACGGCGCCATTCGGACGCCGGGAATCGAACCCGGGACTGCCTCCCATGACCAACACCCGAGAGTCAATGGAAGAGGCCGTGTTTGGCTACACCACGTTCAATTTCTATGCATATAATTCTGCATTGGATTACTCATTATTCATTATTCGTTCCTACAGATCGAGCGTAGACCGTCAACTCAGTGAGAGACCAAAAAAAGAAATCGTTGCTCAATGGCGCCAAAGGGAGAGGGGGACCGCTCCGCGGAGTAAACAAATAATAAGATTGGTCAGATGAACAGAGAGACATAATTTGCTATGGAAAGGAGATGTACAGTCCATTAGGGCAACAATGTGCAGTACAATGTTGTGTTTTGTAGGTACCCCAACATGGTCGTAATGAAAATAGGTTTTAAATTTTGCTCTAATGTGTAGTTGAATTTTCAGGTAAACTTATCTTTCTTTTAGAATCCGCAAAACCCATCGAAAAGCTCATGAATTCATGAATACTTCATAGCAAAAGTCTAATTGAAGTGATTTAGCAGCCCACATAATGCTTACAATTCATTTTTGCCAGTATCTCTATCTCTACAAAATTACGCCTGTCTGAAGCCCTTTGATGTATATGATTTCGGAAATTGAGTCAGTTATCACAAAACCACTGCTGGTCCATGCATTGCAATTTTTATTCTGTAGGTCTGAGTGCGAACCAAATTTGGGCAAGACACTAAGAATCTTTATTTGTCTGAAGTTGCAGTCAAGTCCTGAATTTTATCCCCAGCCTATCCTTCAAAGCGAGGGCGGAATTGACGAAGTTGCAAGTAAATTCAAGTCACAGCGCCAGTTTTGGCGCTTGAATTAGCGCCTCGGAAACTATGACGGCGAGCAAAAACGGAATTTGGCGTTGTGTACACTTTTATAGGCGCGCGCGCTTGAAGTTGATCATGGGGCCAAAATCCCCGAGAAAGTGCCGTTATTGAGCGCTTCCGAAGGTATGGACCCAGCGCTTCCAGGCCCCCGGTCACTACCTAGTAGGTCGGTCCGCCGATTTGGCCAGATTTACTCTGTGAAATTTGGCCCCTGGACCTCAGATTTATTCTATCGCGGACCGAATAAATTAAAATTTTCTCCCACGGTATTTTTTTCCGCTTTTTCCCTCTCTCCTGGCCTTTTTCGCTCTATTACGTGCCCGTTGAGACAGTTTTGAGCTCGATCCGTAGATTGAAACAGCGCTGGCTGGGGTTGCTAATTTTGTCAAGACGCGCTCTTTCACACAAAAAGAATCCTGGCTGCGCCAGATTTACTATATTCCGGACCGACATGGGTCGTTCAGACCTACTTTTACTCTATATTCCGAACCCCAAAACACGATTTTCGCCTTCAGATTTACTCTATTCCGGACCGACCTAATAGGTAGTGACCGGGGGCCTGCGCTTCCACAGTCTAGGGCTTGATCACCTAAAAGCGGAGTTTAAAGGCTTCAGACAACTATTATTTTATAAAGAGAGAGATAATCCTGGATTGGACTAACCGTTATTCATTGCCTCAGGATCAGGCGTCGACTCAATGAGAGGTTAAAAAAAAAAGGTTTTCACAAACGGCGCCATTCGGACGCCAGGAATCGAACCCGGGACTGCCTCCCGCCCAAAAGCAAATGAATAATTGAAGAGGCCGTGTTCCATACACCAACGTCCGATTTCTATGCATGTAATTCTGGACTGAGCTAACCATCATTCATTCCCGCAGATCGGGCGTAGACTGTAGACTCAGTGAGAGACCAAAAAAAGAAATCCTTACTCAACGACGCCATTCGGACGCCGGGAATCGAACCCGGGTCTGCCTCCTAAATTTGCTCGCCCAACAAACGTAAATTGAAGAGGCCGTGTTCCATACACCACGTCCGATTTCTATGCGTATGATTCTGGATTGGACTAGCCGTTATTCATTCCTGCAGATCAAGCGTAGACTGTAGACTCAGTGAGAGACCAAAAAAGAAATCCTTACTCAACGACGCCATTCGGACGCCGGGAATCGAACCCGGGACTGGCTCCCGCCCAAAAGCCAATGAACAATTGAAGAGGCCGTGTTCCATACACCACGTCCGATTTCTATGCATAATCCTGGATTGCACTAACCAATATTCATTCCTGCAGATCGGGCGTAGACTGTAGACTCAGTGCGAGACAAAAAAAAAATTGATTCCGGACGGCGCCATTCGGACGCCGGGAATCGAACCCGGGACTGGCTCCCGCCCAAAAGCCAATGAACAATTGAAGAGGCCGTGCTCCATACACGTCCGATCTCTACGCATAATAACCGTTATTCGTTCCTGCAGATCGGGCGTAGACTGTAGACTCCAATGAGAGACCAAAAATAAAATATATGTAAAAAACATTCGAAGAACTGCATTCGGACGCCGGGAGTCGAACCCGGGACTGCCTGCCTCCCAATTGCATCCCCAAGAAAACACCAAATGAAGAGGCCGTGTTGCATACACCAACGTCCGATTATGTTTCTCTCTTCGTTCACCCATGCGTACTGAGCGACGCGAGGGAGGACGTGGGACGCGCGATGGCCAAAAGTGGAGAGAAGTTCCGGAAAGATCCACCCAGTCCCGAAAAAAAAAATCGAGCGAGTGGATATGCGCAATGGGGTTGGTCGGTTGCAAGAGATCCATCGAGCAACAAACCACACATGATACATTCGAGGCCGGCCATGAATTCATGGATGAGGGGGTATGTGCTGTACTGTACTGTACGAGGCGTATGTAGGTAGGTACCGAGTAGGTTTTGGTGTTGACAAAGCTAAAGAATGGCAGAGTAGGTTAGGTTAGGTTAGGTACAAGTGTACACGCCGAGTCCCCAGCTCGCAGAGATAAATTTACCACACACACGGACACGCTATTCACTCCAGCCCTAACGCCCACGCACTCGTCTGCCGCTCCTCCAGCGCGCGTATGCGCGCCTTGGTGCTCTTGACATCGACCTCCTTGCCGCCGCGCTCAAGGAGGGACTGGGCGGCGCGCAGCTCGGCGGCGAGGTACGCCTGGCGCGCGGCGGGGGAGGAGCCCGCGCCGGGCTCGGAGGCGGAGCCGGAGAAGGCGGTGGGCCAGGAGGACTGCTGTTGGTGCGCGGGGCGTATGGGGAGGAGGAGGAGGTGGGCTGGGGCTGGGGTTGTTGTTGGCGCTGCGACTGGGAGGGGTAGGGGTGCGATTGGGAGGGCGGAGGGTACGCCCCGAGCTCGACGGCGTCTCTGTCGCTCAGCGTGGGTATCGTCATCGTCCGCGGAGCGGGCGTGGGCATGGGCATCCCGGGAGGCGAGGTCTGTTCCTTCGAGATCGAGGACGCGCGTGCCGGTCCACTCGCGCCGACTGGGGGCCCGCCGAGCTTGCCTCCGAGCGTACGTCCCGCGCCGGAGAAAGCGGCGGCCTGTTCGCGCCGGCGAGCACGGCGGACGAAGAGGTAGCGGATGAAGAAGAGGGCGGCGATGGCGGCGACGATGGCGAGGGCGACGCCGACGATGAGGCCCACGGGGGCTTTGTGTTGTCTGTGCGTGCCAATGGTCAGCAAGGAAAGGCAAGAAAGGCACGGAGACGCACTTCTCGGAGTGGAGGGCGTGGGATGGGGATGGGCGGGCGCTGTGGCTCTCGGTTATGACGTTTGAGGCGGCGATGCCGGATGTTTGCGTCGGGGGGATGGTTACGGTGCGTGGCTCGAGCGGGGCGGCGGTCGCCTTGGGCGGCGCGGCGGTGAGTACTGCCATTGTGTCGTTGGGAGTAGGATTGCGGATAGGATGTGGATAGGCGGAGAGGATGGATGGGTGGTCGAGATATGTGGGGGACGTGAGGGAGGTCGTTGTCAATGGTTATGCTCTGTGGGAACAATGGCTTGACATAATAGCCTTGGCAATCAACGGACGGCGTCGCCCGTGGATCCAAACACGCGCAAATACATGCGCTGCCCCCGCCACGTGGATTTCCGTGGATCTTCGACCTGTTGCGAGACTTGGATATGGTGCCTTGGTGTTTGTTGTGGTCTTCTGGCGCGTCGCGTTCCAGGGGAGTGTACCCACCCGGCTCGTCTGAGATCTTCGGCCATGCTCGGCCTGTTGGCCTTGGCTGATTACAAATTTTTCCGGGCATGAAAAGCCCCAACAACGACTCGTCCGGTCTCTCTCTGTTCTCCCAGGCTCTGCGTGCTCTCCGTGCTCTCCGTATCATTCTGCCTGCGTGTGAGAATTTCTCTCGCCCTCAGGCTAGTGCCGCATCCTGCATTCTACATCTCCCGCCCCTGCCCAGCGCTCAACCCTCAAACGCCATCACGACGTCTCTCATTTTTTTAACCGTACCCCCCGCGGTAACCGCAGGAGTCGTTCCTGATCAGCGTCCCGCGTTCCTGATCAGCGTCCCGCATCCCTGATCAGCGTCCCGACGATCTTGCCAAGCTTTCTGTGCGTCCCGGCAACTAAACATTCAAGTCTGGGTTCTTCCCATCTGTGCCACGACGGGAAACTATCACCCTTCTCTTCTCCCGCGATGCTGCGGAGTCGTTTTGGCCCTTCAATGGCAACAATCGTATTGAGCCTCCATCCATTCATCAGGGTAAGGAGATTTTGACGCAGCGGCCTGTGTCAATTGAATTTTGCATCAGTGGATGGACTGCATGTAATCGTCTACCTACCCTACCGTCTCGATGACCTGATCGTTGTTCACTTTTTGGGGGGCCTCGGAGCTTGAGCTTGAACCCTGCTTCCCTCTGCGATTGATATCTGGTGGTGCTTCAAGGTTACCGTTCACCTCGGTTTGGAATTGGCTGCCTCTGGAAACGGAAATTTTAAATTTTCAAGTTGAACGATCCTACCACTATGACTAAGGAAGGACTGAACACAATCGGACCGTGGTGTGCGGGAACGCGGCCTCCTTCATTGCGGTGAAAGATGAAACGGTGAGAGGCAGACCCGGGTTCAACCCCCGGCGTCCGAATACAGGTCGAGACCGTCTTTTTTCCTGTTGTTCTCTGACCGACTCGAAGGTTGAGCTTTCCTCGCTCTGATGACGCCGCCTTCCAGGTCCCTTGATTCGGTTGGGTGCTGTCATGGAACACGTTCAAGTTTGCCAGACGAATGAATATCAGGTTCATCCATTAAACAGAAAAGAATATGCATTATATGTATTACACCATAGGAGGAACACCGCCCCCCTTCATCATACTTGCGGTGAAGAGCGAAATGGCGAGAGGCAGACCCCCGGGCCGGCTTCGATTCCCGGGAACCTTTTTTTCCTTCTGGAGATCTGTGAGCTTCAACACTGTTTCCGGCGGCACCGTGGTGATTTTAATCTCATTCTATAATTTATCTATCTGTATATCAACGAGGCTGATTGCTGGAACAAGCTCACACTGCCGGCAAATCAACCCACCCAATGTGCATGCAAGCAACCTTTCCATCTTCCACCTTCAGTAACTCTCACCAAGCATTGGAGCCCCCGTATGTAGGATTCGACACACTCGGACGTGGTGTATACTACGAACACAGCCTCGTTTGTTGAATGGGATACATGACGTGATATCGTCCTGGTGGGCAAACCCGGGGACGTGGCGTTCTAGGCTACACGTTGGTTTGGTGGCTGAAATTTATAAGCCAGTGCGAGCTGATGCCAATGATGTCTCAAGGCTTCTGTCACATGCACGCGTGAAAAGTGCGTGATAAAGTCTGCATTTGCCGAGGGCGAAGAGCCGGTGGCGAATTGTATCGCGCCAGCTCCACCGGTGGAGCATCGAGGAGGGAGCAAGGGAGCGGGAAGTCCTGGTTCGAGTCCAGGCTGGGTCGTATCCCATAACTTTTCAAATTTTCAGACACTTGTCTCAAATTCAACGTTAAAAAAATCTCCGATTAAACCAAGGGTCTGCAGGGAGAGGTAAGGCCCGGTGGCGGATAGTTTCGCGCCCGCTTCCTCTGTAGTATAAACCTGCTTGAAACGGGTCCCGGGAGATCCTGGTTCGACTCCAGGCCGGGTCATAACAAAGCTGGAGGGCATTTTTTTCCCCTCGTGTTCTCCGCTCTCTCATAAATCATAATGGGCTGAAGAAATATCCCTCTGTTTGTGTGTGCAGTTTGTGCTCTTCCCACTCATTTCAAGTCAGATAGTGTTGTATTGCAACGCAAAGGGCTATGTCGTTCAATTTCTTCTCATACAGTCTCCCGCACACCAGCTTGAACCGAACATGGAATGTATGACATCAAACTAGCCTTTCTTAAATTCGGGGTGGGTTCACCGCCCAAAGAGGAGCTAATAAGGTACTTGGAAACGGAGCCCTAACAATATCAAAAGATCAGATCCTTCGTCGCAGGACTGGATCGGCAACATACCACTTCCGGGACATTGACCGAGCGACAGCTCCGGGCATGTCTCGGGGCCGTAGTTGAGTTCTCCGCCCTTGACCTACATTTCGGAAAGCTCTGAGTGTCGGGAAAAAATATAAGTGGAACTATCCAACGCACGCCATAGAAACAGTTGGCGCCGGCGGCGTAGCTGTAAACATGGTTTAACAGCGTCTCCAGGCAGAGATGAGGGCTCGACGTACCCGCAGTAAAGGGGGACACCCTGTTCCCCTCCGCTATGAGCGACAAGGGCCCAATTTTCCCTGTCCGCCATGTGGCAAGAGGGCTTGCATTGGGCGGCGACGACGCCGACGAGAGCGAGAGCAGAGAGGATGAAAGATTGGATGAACATCTTGGTGGGACGACCTCATTGCTGTCTTGGGTCTTATATACGTTGAAGGACGTAATTAGAGGCGTCATCGCAGGTCGGGAATAGGTCGGCGCGGCGTGGTTCTCATAGCTGAACCGAGGAAGGGGACACAGTGATGTCGCTGTTAAGTCCCCATTGGATTACTAGTATTCTGATCGCTGAAGGAAGCAAACGAGAAGCGAATAGTGTCTCCAAGAGAGTAAGAGATCCTTCGGGTTGAGTAAACATTGTCGGCAGATACACCGGGATCATTGAGTGTGGTTGAATAATATGTACGCGCTTCACGTTAGAGTCTCTGTCCACCAGCGACTCGTTCAATTCGGGAAGCAAACATACAACTTCGACTCTCAAACGTCTTGTACGGGCAACTTACACAGAGTCGAGGGCGGGCTCATGGAAGAGCCTCCGGCCTCGGGACCAAGTCGAGCCTTGACGTTGTTCGTTTCCACCGCGGGCAGCCGAATAATACTGATCTATTAATGAACCGCGATGTCATCGAACGTTGTTCTCAACTAGGAATAGATACAGCTGCCCTCGGATTGAACGCATTATGTCGCTCTTTGGAGGGGTACCTACACCCACGAGCACTCCATTCTTGCTCGAACCACTGCACGTTGGCCCGTTTTTCTCTCTCTCTGCCTAGCTGAGTGACGTACATGTTTATTTTGTCCACCGACGAGTAACACGCCGGAAGGAGTTGAAATTAATCCGAGTACCAACCTACTTCCTTACCCGGGACATCAGGGTTGTCCGCACTGCGTTCATTAATCAAGTCGGGTGATTGTTCGGTAACCAGTTTCTCCGGATTAAGGAGACGGAGAGACCTTCACTCCGGTGAACGGAAGTGTGCAACGAAAACATACTCCTGAACACTCGTCAGGACGCGAGTTCGTGCCGAATAGCTCTCGTTTATACCGCCCTGACAGGCCCAGAGTATTTATTGTTCAGGTACCCCAAAACGCCAGTTTAACATTACGGCTAATTTGCAACGGCTCCCCATCCACTCCCCATCGTTCCAGACCCAACTTGCGCCATTGCCTCAGTTTCACAATTTAATCAAGTACTCTGTTGTTCCCTGATCATGAATAAGACAACGGGCACGCATCTCCGGTGTGGTCACTGGATTCTTGCAACCATCATTCCTGCAATTCCTCTGATTCACAGTGGCCGCAGTGCGGACGCGAGCTCGGGACCTAAAATTAACGACAATTGGGTGGAGTTGTACAAACGGTCCCCTGACCGAGTCCGTAATACACCTTGCCCCGTCGGGGGTTGGAGACGGTAAAAGGATTCGCATGCCTCCCTAGTTAGTCGTGCTTTCATCAAAGCATATTTTAGCTCCCTCGCCCTTTCAGACATTCAATCTTCATCAATGTTCTCCAAACTCATTGCTCTCGGGCTCTGCGCCCTCACCTCTCCGCCGCCGCGCCCTCCCAGCAACCTATGGTTTCCCAGGAACTTACGGTCTCCTGCGTCATTAGCCAAGTAGGCTCTACCGTAGTACGCACCGCCGCGCCGTTCTGCCCGCCCTCTGATTCTTTTGTCAGCTGGGAAGCAGCATGATTGAGCCGGGCATTTACCTAATTTCCAGCGCGCTCATGGGGTCCCCGCTGACGGCCGTTGGGCCGTCTAGTCCAGTTCTCATTGCGCAGTCAGCGCCGGGTCCGATTGAAGGCAAACAAGTATGTTTCCTGTGCCTTTCAACAACAAACTATGTTGTTGACAATGGGGATGGTTAGTGGGCGGTTACGCGTGCCGGCGAGAACAGCTACCGCATTCGCAGTATGTAGTTCATCGACTTGGGGATCAAAGCCGATAAGGTACGACGTCGGCTGTCTTTCGCTGGACAGTAAATAAATTTCCGCCGTTCAGGGAGTGCTTATTTTGGATTCCACGCCGACGGAGTTCTCGATCGACCCTGCAGGAGGCAATACCTTCGTTGTGCGAGCTATGATTCTCATCCCATCGTTTCCTGTTGTCTGATGTCGTCATGGATGCAGGTCAAGGTCCCCTCCCAGGATAACGTGTGGACTGTGAGCAACCCGGACCCGTTCGCTTATTCATCGACCGTGTGTATCTGTTCTTCGGGATGCACTTTCTTTACTCACTGTATTTTAGGTTGAGCTCAAAGGAGCCGACGGGCGTGATGCACAGCGCTGGAACTTCGCCCGTCTCGGCTAATGAGATGATCAAAGGACTTGGATTGCATGCTGAAATAAATTGTGTTCTCACCAGTGCTCGCTCCGGCGTCCAAGTCCCTGAGAATTTAGTCAGAGACCTGTATCAGCCGAGTAATCTCAACCCGCCCTGCAGGGAACCCGTTACTATATTCAGTGTGAAAGCCGGTGAAATCCAATATTCCTGATTGTTGTTGGGGGGTCTTTGTATGTCTACAAAGACCCCCTTCCGGTCAATACACCACCTACATACTCCTTGTTCATCCTCAGGCTGTAGAAAAAATGAAAAATGCTGAGCAGTTTTGCAGAGGCACTTACCAGGTATATCCAGCTTGGGACCCCCCCCTTCTTCGGCTATTACCGATTAAACACCCCGCCTAATGTAATGCACAATTATTGAAAGATTTGAAGACCAGAAACTAAGTATCGGCAGTCTGTAAGTCGATTTACGCTGCCCCTCGGCGAAGTTTCGTCCACCATGGATCGCAGGGTAATGAGTGTAGTATGTGGTCAGAAGCACTGATTCCGCTTTTCTTCTCATCTAGAAATCATATCTTTTCTCCAAGTATTGCGAGTGTAATGCTTTTTTTATTACCAGAATACATCCAAGATTCCTCTGGCAACCACCGCCGCACGTGCTTTCACACCATGCCTCCATCGTGCCAACAACGGCGTTCTCGGACAGCACGGCTGCCCGACTTCAAGTTTCCGTGCCTGCCTGCACCCACCTCCTGACCATTGCTCCCAAATTGCTCCGCTACCTCCTCCCCCAAATCCCGCGCCCTGCCCCCACACCTCGAATCCTGACAAATCGCTCTACGAATCCCAGCACAGCACACCCCAGCACATTCCGGCGCTTGCCCGATGCTACCTCCCACGCGCCCTACCACAACTTGCTCCTTTCCCAGCGGCTCACCTACGCGACGCGTCTGTCTGTCGCTGTCTGCCTACACCCTCCGCTCGGATCAACGCGCCGGTGACTTAGCCGAGTCGCACTGATGGTCGTTGGGCGACTTGAAGTCCCATCCGTTTCGTCTTAGGCACACTGCACACTGTCTTCTTCCTCGTCGACTGCCTCGCCCTACCTCCTCCAGCCCTCCACCTTTCTCGCTGCGTTCCGAATCATCCTTCCTGCACCCACTTACATGGCACTACAAGGAGTCTTTCTACACCATTTACTGCTGACCTTGATTCTCTCCACGCCGATCCTGGCGCTTCGAAGTCCCGCGACACCTTGGAGGGTAGGAGGTCTCGCGAAGCCACTGAATTGCCATCTCCCGCAGTCCAGCTGTGCCCAGTACGGCGTGTGCGACGTGCAAGGCGAGTGCGAATGTCCCGCAGGATGGGGCGGTGTCGACTGTTTGATCCCTCGTTAGTACATATGCCATTTGACGCCCCGGTGCAATTCATCTCATCTGGACTGGCGACAATTTAGAATGCGACTCCCTCGCAGATGGCCCCAATCGGCGCCTTCGCGAGAACGGAACGTCGTGCGAATGTAAGGATGGATGGGGCGGCATCAACTGCAATGGTACGTGGTCTCTATCGATTCTCCTTGTGAACATCATGAGTGGACTCTGATCGGTGCCCACTGTTTATTTAGTCTGCAAGACGGACGCGGTATGCGCCGGCTTCCCTCTCCCGGGCGGCGAAAAAGTGCATCCCAATCCCGAGGGGATGTCATGCTACAAAGGGGGCGACGTTGTCTTCAGCATGCACCAGGTGTGCAACGTTACTAGTGCGTCCATCGTCGCCCATTATCATCTCATCACACACTCATACGATTATAAATAATCATTGCCGCACAGACCGCCTCATTGTACAAGAGGCTGAAGGACGACCGGTGCAGGCGACCTTCAACTGTAACGCCCCCAACGCGACGTGTGCGTTTCAGCTGTGGATCGCAGAGGTCGAGTCGTTTTATTGTGCGCTGGAGGAGTGCGTCTCGGAGACTGCATCGACGTCGGGCTATGAAGAAGGTTTCGTCAAAACAACTACGTACACGTGCGAGCAAATGAAGTGCAGCTGCGTGCCCGGGCGCTTGATTTGCGGCGAGAGTGGGAGCGTTGGTGAGTTGACGCGTCGTCCGT